TTCCGGGTTTGACTAAGACTCGGCCCACACGTTTAGGGTTTCTTCTACACATATAAATAGACCTAAAAACACCACTTGGAAAAGGGATTTTTCAGCAGCCATATTTTTGGGCAGCTAGAGGCAAGGAGAGCTGGTGGAATCACCTCTTGGGAGTTAGAATCATCTATTTCTACATCTTTTCATCTTTACTCTGTATTTTAATTATGCAAAATATTTAGGATATTGTTACTGAGTATGAGTAACTAACTTCCTAATCTAGGGTTTTGATGGAACCTATTAAAGGATGATTTTCTTGTTATGTTAATATAGATTTGCCGTAGTATTTTCTCTATTTGTTCAACTATATTATTCTTGTGGTTGAGTGAAGGGCCCTTAATTAGCTGTGCCTATTTAATATGTATTACTCGGGAGAGAGTGCATATTTAGGTAGTTATTGAACAACATCACTCCTAAACGTATATGAGGGATCAATACGGAGGTTTAAAGGTGGGTTTAGGGATAACGAAACCTTGATGCGATCTGAGTGAGCTGTACTTAATGTCAGCTAGCGTAATTCGGGAGAATATGTCTAGTAAATTATGGTAATTACTCGGGAGAGAGTTACGACAGTTAGAGTGCTCATGGTCGATAGAGAAGACTTAGGCAAATTTATAGGAAACGTAGCGGAAAGGATTCCGACAATTGAGAAAATCATAACTCTAGACCTCCTTAGTCTTGTCTATAATTTCAGCCATGTTAGTTGATAATTTTACTGCTTTATAATATTTGCTAGTTAATTAGTAGAAATAAAAATCAAATCTTTATAACTAAAAAATTACTTGAACTTGTGTTTCTTTGCAATATTGAACAGTTGTAGCTAAGTCTTAGTTCTCTGTGGGATTCGACTCCGGACTTGTAAACCGGATTATATTTGCAACGACCGCTTAATCCTTTTTATAAGGCATAGTTGGGCGTGATCAACTATCCTTGGATAAATGAGGCAAGGAAACAATGGTTGCACATATCTTAAAGAGGAAGAGGTTGGGGGCATGTGTTAAATTATGTGCCTCATATAAAACACCTAGTTATGTCGGGTACCCTGTAGGTTTTTTTCATTTCTGTTGGGATGTTATAAAGGAGGATGCAATGCAAACATCGAGCAATTTACGCACACATACAAATACTTTGAGAAGAGCAACAATGCATCTTATGTAGCTCTTAATCTTAAGAAGGATGGTGCCAGAGAATTGAGAGATTTCGAACCTATCAGTTTGATTGGCTCTATTTACAAAATAGTCTCTAACTTGCTGATTGAGAGACTATAAATAATGATCTCCAAACTGGTGGATAGATTAAAAAAAATGGTCTTCTTAAAAGGGAGATAGATAATAGATGCAGCCTCGGTAGCAAATGAATGTATTGACTCTAGACTAAAGATGAAGACACCTAAAATTTTATGTAAACTTGATATATAAAAGGATTATGATTATGTGAATTGAGGATTTCTTCTCAAGCGGCTGAGAGATATGGACTTTGATAGAAAATGGATCAAATGGATACTATTTTGCATAAGCTCAGTCTGATTCTTTGTTTTTATTAATGGTTATCCGAAAGGATTTTTTCCTTCATAGAAGGTTAAGACAGGGAGATCCCGTATTTTCCTTGGTTAGACTTGCACATTTTATGCATGCTCAATGGAGATGGTGATTGATCTCATAACCACTTGTGTATGTGACAAAAAAAAAAGGAATGTGGGTGCTCATTAGAGAATAAGTTCACTTGATTGACTCGTATGAGAAAACTTTAATCGATGTCCTACTAGTTTGTCATAGGAATTACTCATATGGAGGTTGTGTAAGTGATCCTTAGACTTGAGATCGCCATAGTATCTTATGCACCAACATATGCATTGATTCACCTTAGGCACATTATCTATGGATGTTCACAAGGTGTTTTGCAAGTACGAAGGTGTATATTGAAGGTAATGAGTGAATCAAGATGAGATCAGTCGCTCTTAGTATGAGGAATATACGTCATATGTGTTCTTGTGGGATTATGTTTTGGGCGTCTCTAGCCAAAGTTGGACAAGATCTAGAAAAGAGTTTCTAGGGTCTCGTCATTAGGTCGTATATTCATAGATCAAATATATAGAGATGAGAATTTGTGATTGAGAACCTCCATTCCCTTAGCTTAACTGAGATATACAATATGAGGGATTGAATTGCATGCTAACCTACTGCAAAAGGATTTTTGGTATGCAAGACGAATGGATCTTACATGAAAGTATACAAGTGTCTAAGTCTAAGAACAGTTGCCTGTTCTCATAGAACACTTGATTTTGTAGAAGACACATGTTCTTTGATACTTGACACTTGTCTCTTTGCATGTGATGCATTGAGCATTATATAAGAAAGCCTTTGTAGAGAAATATTACCGAAGTCTTTGCTTGAGTTACTCTATCTCTTGTACAAAATACAAAACACTTTCTCTACTTAGCCATAGTCTTTTTTAAAAGTGGTGCAAGAGATATTCGAAGGATCTTGGTGGACTCCTTGGAGTTGTGTGGTACACTTCTTATGAGAAAGATCATTGGTTGGAAAGTTGGTGCATTATAAAAGATTTAAAACTTGCATTCTATTCCGTTGCTTTGTTCGATCCAATGTTTCCTTTAGGTATAAGGAATCTAATTAATGTTACATAACAAAAGCCTAGTTATGAAATGTATCTGGAGATTTAGTTGGGAGGAACAAACCTTATGGTAGGTTTCGCCATTAGAGCACACTGGCATCTTTGTGTTGCAAACACTAATATCAGAGTGGGGAATGAAAGGAAGACGTCATTCTAGAATGATAACTGAATAGGCCATGGAACTTTAGAAGACAACCCAATGACTGGGGATTATTGAACTACTAAAAGTTATGGATCAGTTCAACTACAGAGGACAGATAAATTGGAGATGGCATAGCAAAAGGTCTGGTTACAGTAAAGTCAGGGCACTCACATTTCAACCAGGCTGATTCATATACGGAGCTGGAAAGCAGTTTGGCAAGTGAAAACATCCCCCCCCCCCCCCAAGGTAGCTGTTTTGTGTGGTTAGTGGTCAGAGATGTTTGCCTCACACAAGACAACTTAAAGAAGAGGAGAATGCAATTGTGCTCAAGGTTCTATCTATGTGGAATGGAGTCTAAAAGTGGCAGCCATCTTTTTATACATTGTAAACTGACTGGAGTGCTCTGGCAACTATTTCTAAGCATGAAATAAATATCATGGATCATGCCCAAGATTACAGGGGAGCTACATGACTACTGGTCAGACAAAATGGTGGAAGATCATACCAGACTATATGGAAGCAAAGACACTTTACATGTTTTGAAGGGACCAGCAAATCAAGATGAACTACCTGTGTTTTTTTCACTTTTTGGTGTAAGGAAGATTTTGTACAGAATGTTGATTCGATGTTAGACACTATAGAAGATCCAGGAGAAAGGTATGTCTTTTGGATTTTTTTTGCAAACTGTAGTTGTGACCTAGTAGAGTCTTTGTGCTACACATTTATAATATTCTCCACAACAACAAAAAGAGGGAGAAACATTTTCAAACTTAACTCATGCTGTGACTTTGTGGAGTTGTCGCCTATTAGGAAAAATTTTCTGAATAAGAAACTTTGTACTTTCCCTTAAAAGGTCCCTCAATATGCAAGAATATACAACAAACCTTCTTCTTTTTCTTAGTCTGTACAAATTTTTCAGACCAACGAGGATTAGAATGAGGAAGGATATACATGCCAAAATGAGATACAACTTGTCCTATACAATTTTCTATAACGCCAACCATAGAATTCATATGCATATGGCGAGCCAAAGGGTAGTCCTCTGACAACTTGCAAAGTGAAAGTCACGATATCTGTTGAGTATTTCGAGGAAGGGTAGAGGATCGCGTTAAGCTATAGATCAAGTAGTTGCTGCATGGGCTCCGCTCTATTTTAGCTCAAGCAAGTAGAAGAAGATCCATTTTGGGAACAAGGCTACTCGATTCTGGTATTCATCATCTTTCAAAAGATGTGATTTGTTGCAATCTCCTTAATATAACTTGTAAAAGAGGGTATTAAATAACTCAATTGCCTGTGGCCGAACCAAAACTTTATGCACCAACTACGACTTTCCTTGGAACAAGTGATACACGATCCAGGTAAGCGTTAGAGAGACAAACCAAAAACCGATGACAAGCCAAAGCTGATGCTTTGACAAAAATCAGAAATGAAGAGCAAAAGAACCTCATCATCAGTATTGGACTTTTTCTTGCAGAACCTAAGACCTTGAAGAGAATCAGTCTAAGCCGCCGATCCCTGAGGGTTGACTTGTAATCATAGTCTGGTGAGAACACTGCCGAAGACGATCCCAGCTTTACAGTGGTTGCACCCGTTAGCTGCACTTGGGAGCTAATTACGTTACTTCCAACTGTTTCAAATATCCACTGGTACAGTATATCAGCAGCAATTCTGCAAAGATGTTGACGAAAGAATTCTGCCTCCCTGGAAATAAATGCTCTAACTAATGAAGCTTCATCCTACAACAAGAAATGGATATCATGTTGCAAACCAAAATGTAGATATCGATCAGTTTTTCCATGTGTAAATTAGAGAATAAGGCCAACATAAATTTTCACCTCCAAATGTTCGCGAAAAACATTTTTCTAAAGACACCAAACACATATAATGAGAAGGAATTTTCCATTGAACTTCAATTATACATTTCTGAATTTACATACTTAATAAACCATATGACTCGATGCAAGAATCAACTTCCAACCACCTCCCACCCTGCCTCGGGATCCCATTTAAGGCCAACAGTTTGCCAAGCTTTGATTCTTTTAAAAGCAAAGGGTTGTCATATTTAAGGTAACAGTAAAAGAATATCAGGTCAAGGCAATATATCAGGCAAAGGCACTCACTGCTGTCATCAGCAATCTTCTCAGTACAATACCATCTTTAGATGGTAGTATTCTCAACACCAAGTCTGCAACATCAAATACACCAGCAGCTCTATCAGAAGAATAAGCAAGAGATGCTTGAGGATTTGGTGCCACGATAGAGTTCAAATAAGCAAGAGATGCTTGAGGATTTGGTGCCATGGTAGCGTTTAGCCCTTTCCTGGAAAGAGTTAGCAGTCAACATCCACAAGGTACTAGGAGAAAAAGCTTCTAATAACCGTCACATCTGAAAGAGAAGCTAAAAGATGCACCAAATGCAGTAGCCAACTGGCTCATCAAGTCTATTCTTTCAGATTTCTTCGTTGCATAGAGAATGCATAATATTTGAAACAGAATGCTGTCAAGAAATATGCATTACTCCTAATATTGCTTTAAGAGATGTAAAAGTTCACAGAAACTAATTTGCAAATAGTCCACTGTCACATTCCTCAGTCTTCTTAAAAAGATTGCCAATACCATAGCTGACATTCCTCATCAGAGGAAGAAAGGAGAAAACCGAAATGATTCATTTCCTGTCCTGCCCTCCTTATTCTCCTGCTACAAATTTTCACCACTCAAACACATAATACATCTCTCAAGTCTCAAGCACACAAAGTGCCTTTCACCACTGGATACATGAAAGAACAGTTTTTAGATCCTTTCAAGAAGCAGCCAAAGAAGAAACAGAAACCAAGCACTGTAATTTCATGTAAAGCAAGATATGAAAAACTCAGAAAGCAAATTATAAAGTTATGATCAAAGATAAGTAAGAAGGTCAGGTAGCAAGACAAGCAGTTTGGGACTCCTGTATCTATTGAAAATTACGCCTTTCTTCCTTTTTGCAAAAGTATAGAGGCTAAGCAACAGATACAATAGATAAATCTAGCAGAAGAGGATGTCAAGGAAGAAGCATAAAGAATACACTAAGAAACAACACAAGCATTCATTTAAAATTTACTGATCGAAAAACCAAAAAAAAAGGGTATAACGAAAAAAGGACTATGTCATGATACCTAGTCGCTGCCACTCTTAGGAAAAGAGCTAGCTTCTGCCATTGAAATTCTTTCTTTCTGTTTAATACCACCTGAATAGGGAACAGAAACATAACATTGAAGAAAAAGGTGATACAGAAGTCTAAAAGTCATCTTTTTGTTAACAGTATCAGTAAATAAGCAATTTTGTATAGCAGAACAAGGAGAAGATTTTTTAAAGGTAAAGTCAGCATGAGGAGGGTTCCAAAAGAAAAATCAAGAAAGAGTGTGTATAAGGTGAGGGTAACCTTCGATCCACTTACTGTAAAAGATATTGACTATCATGCCTGAGTTTTTCTAAAATTTATTTTTTCCCAATGAGATGTGAGATTATTAAGTCAAAACATAATTTCCTCCACAAGCCAACTACCAGATAAAACAGTAAACAGAATAAGCTCAGTGAACACCATTTTAAATATGATGTTTAATATGTCAAGGGACAACCATTAAGGTCAATCACAGTATGACTAGAGACCGAATGTATAAGGCGGTGAAGTACCGAATGCAGAATTTTCCTCGTAGCAGCAGAATTATCAGAGAGAAGCTTCCGAACAACATATGGAAATGCAGCTTCAAAAGTTTTGAAACTTGGATCTCCAGCCACCGCCAATCCTGAGAAGATGAGTGGATGTTACAGTTATACAGTTATATTGGAACACAATAAGTATAATGTTAAAAATTCAATCCCACAAGGAACCTGCTCTAAGAGCCATTTTCGAGACAAAACGAAGAACTGGTTGTACCTTCAAAACACACGCACATTCAGATTGGAAGAGGGAGCAAAATCATTAATGGTGAATTTTTGCATTTTTATTTTTGATAGGCAAAGGTTCACTTCATTAATGTTCACACACCAAGGATAGCAACCACGTTATACATGACATCTACAGCATTTCTTCTCTATACAATGCTACAATTGTTGAATTTTTTGATACCCGTGAATGGAATTTTTTCCTAAAAAGAAACTCTTCTTAAGTGGACCGGGAAATCAAAAGAACTTTCTCTCTTTTGATCTTCTCAGCTCTACTGTGTTGGACCAGCACAAGAATAATTCTATTAAATGGAAAGGTCACTCAGATGGGATTTTCTCTGTTAGGTCTTGCTATAGATTATTGACTTCTTGCAACACTAACTCTTGGCTTTGGAGGATGACTTGGTAAAACAAAGCACCTTTGAAGTTTTCTTACATTTCTTGGCTAGTGACCGAGGGTGTAAGTTCACTTCCCTTGAAGAGGTATGTGTTGGATTTTGCATTTGTTACTGCTGATATTTGATTTATTACAATAAAAAGTAGTTTAGTCTTAGGAGGAGTCCTTGTTTAAATTTAAATTTAATCGGATAAGTTAGTTGAGATAGTTTAGGTTTTTGAATTTGAATATTTATTCTGCAGATTTTCTGCAGATTCTGTTTTTAAGTTGGCTATTTAGAGCCTTGTTATGCTTAATAAAATTATTGAAAGACATTTTCAATTAATATTTTTAATATTTTTGCTGCCCCATCTTTTAAACAAACAACAGTGGTATCAAGAGCTTCATTGGTCTTACGGGATTTGTGAATTCTTCCAAAGAACCACTTTTCAAATTATTTTTAACCAAAATCAATTTTTAAACCATTTTCAAACATGACAAACAGCAGTCTCTCTTTGAATGTCCCACAAATTTTCACTGGCGAAAACTACCATATTTGGTCAGTGAAAATAAAATTTTATCTTGAAACCTATGATTTATGGAATGTCGTAATAGAAGAAAGATCATTACAACCACTCCATGCAACTCTTATCATTACCCAAATTAGAACTCTTTTGGAAGAACCTTCAGACAAGACAAAGTTGCTGAGATTGTTTTTTTTGCACAAAACCAAAAAGAAAAAGAAAAGAAAGAACGAGTCATATTGCAGGAGGATGCACGTTCAAAAACACTTGAAAAGATTCACAAGCACAAATTGCCAAAGCAGAAATTGAGGAGGATCAACCTTTATAGATTGCAGCAACAAAAGCAAGGAGGGGTGTTGGATTTTGCATTTGTTACTGCTGATATTTGATTTACTACAATAAAAAGTAGTTTAGTCGTAGGAGGAGTCCTTGTTTCAATTTAAATTTAATTGGATAAGTTAGTTGAGATAGTTTAGGTTTTTGAATTTGAACATTTATTTTGCAGATTTTCTGTAGATTCTGTTTTTAAGTTGGCCATTTAAAGCCTTGTTATGCTTAATAAAATTATTGAGACATTTTCAATCAATATTTTTAAAATTTTTGCTGCACCATCTTTTGAAAAAACAAACAGTATGTCGTCCCTTTTTTTTCCTTTTTGCACTGGAAGATCACTTATCAGATTTGGAGCATGTTCACTGCAATCTTTGTCATGAAATGGACAATACCACACTATATTCTGGATCGTTTACACTGTTGAACAAGAGTTGAACACAACAAGATTTGGAATGCCATACCTTCGGTCATTTGGTGGACAATTTGGACAGAAAGAAACAACAGTTTTTTTTTTAAGGAAAACAGAGGAATATACAGAGCATGAAGCACAGATGTATTTTTTTGCTAGTTTTTTGGTGCAACCTAGTCTATAAATGACGTAGATTTCATGTTAGATATAATCAGGAAATTGCAAAATATGTAGCTTTTATGCACTGTCTTACTTTTGCTCATATCATCTTCTACAGGAAAAAAAAAGGCAACCACGTTATACATCAGAATTACAACACAAGCTAAAATATAGGTTCCATGGAAAGATAGGAAATAAGGAGCTGCTGCAAGCTGTAGGCTTAGGTTGGGTTTAGGATTATTTTTAACCTTTTGTAGGTTGCTTTATTGCGATTCGGGTAGTATTTACATTAGCAGATTTTTCAACTTAAAATGGCAACATTTCAAAATGCTATGCAGGGATTACCTACTTATAGGGCATTTTTTGTCTTTAGATATGTTTATCTAGGTATTGTTAATTACACGCATGCTTACTCCATATTCAACCCCTCAAAAAAAAAAACATTAACATCCGTAAGTTGTAATGGTACACTAGTGCAGAGTTCAATACCGGAAACCAAATAATGCATTAGTTATGCAATATTTTATGACTGAAATCAAACATTGCATTAGCTATATAAAGATTATAGTAGTAATACAGGGCTTTATGTTGCTATCTAGTTATGCTAAATTTTATGCCGAGATTTTTATCTCCTTGTGCAGCTAAACAAATGACCCATTTAATTAACACTCCCTTTGTTTCATATGGTTATCAGTTTTAGCCAAGATCAAATGAAGCATAGATCTTTTTGCTGCTTTGATTCTAACTAAATTCTTACCCTTACTTATCAAAAGAAAAAGGACAGTTGTAAGAAATATGAGCTTGGCATGCTTATCTACCTTCTAATGACGCAAGAGAACGAAGCAGGAGGGTGAAGTATGGTGGCATGCGGAAATGATACTTGAATGCTACAGACACTATTTTACTCAAAACCTGCAAACACACATCATAATAATCAGCCATATAACAATATGAAGGTAAGAAGCAGAGGTGTACATAGTGCTTCTTCACTCTTATAACACTATTTGACCTTGATTATATTAAGCCTGTGCTGAAATCAAATGAAATGTCAGCGAATTCAGGAAGGAACAAATGACATTAACGTATACCTATGATCTTACAGAGCATACAAACAGCTGCATTTAAGTTGTGACTCAAAATATTTGTAAAGAAAAGAATTCCACTGACTGTTACGGGGAAGGGTGAGTTTTCTAATTCACCAGCTATGAAAGCATTTCAGTACATAAGTATGTGCGACCAATAATCTCCACCATTGATATCTTAAAATGTCGCACACCACATTCGGTACAAGGATTTGGTTCTAGATAAGGTCAGAAAAGAGTTACCCAGTACTTGTTATGATTTTTTTAAGCACTCTTGTTAAGGCCAAAATCAGGGTAAGACCAAGGAAGAGGAAGCCATTAGTATCAAGGGATTGTCATATTAGATATTAGGTGGCATATTCTCTCGCATATAACCTTCTCTCATGTTTTTCCTGATCCCTTCTTCTTCCTTTCTTAGCACAAAAACGATCACTCTACTTCACTTCTCCCTGTCCTAGCCATCCTTAACAGAAATGAGGTTTTAGTTCCATAATGATCTATGGCACCAGCATATTTCGTGGTAACAAAAATGTATTACTCTGATACCTTCTCTCCCCAACATGCCAACCAAATAAATTCTTTGTCATGCTGATGCCACCTTACCTTCAGTGTGTCTATTTTTCTAGCCTTGTCCTACCTCCAATTGCACCAGTTTCCCTCTCCACCACCGCCATGGCAATTTTTTAATTTTTTTCTGCTATCTTCATTTTCTGATATTTTCCGTTCCCCCATTCTTTGTAATTTCTTTTCTTTACATTCTATTTTTAGATATTTTTATCCTCTGTTTTGCTTTGAATCACTAAGTTATTTTTTCTTTATCTTTTTATTTTTCATTTTGCTGAATTCGCATGCCTAATATAACCAATGGCTTTATCATAAATATAAAAACGATGTTTATAACTAATTTTTAATAGGTACATATTATTGATGTCAAAAGAACAGCACTAAGAAAGTGCTGTCATTACATCCAAAAAAGGAACGGAAAAAACAAAAGAAAGGAACCCCTCCACTGTCAATATAAAAGCTTCTATAAGCTGTAACAAAAGTTCATCACTAACCAATTCCATTTTACAGCAAAAACCATAATGCAAACAGATTTAACTTTAACAATAGAGCTCTCTTGTCCTCATTACATCTTCTATTTCTCTTTCCAAATAAACCATACCGTATACAGGCAGGTATGGTATCCCAAGTCTTCTTCAGGTTCTTGGATAGCCCTTTTCTGTTCGAGGCTTCCAGCATGAAAGAAGTTCAGCAGCTCTTTTTCCATAGCCCACTTTGATTCCAAAAGTTAAGGCACATCTGCCAAATCTGTGTAGATATAGAGCAATGTAGGAAAAGATGGTTAACTGATTCTGCCTCTATTCCGCACATGTAGCATCTATTGACTAGCTGTATCCCTCTCCTTTGTAGATTGTCTTTAGTCAGCCATGCTTCTTCCGTGACCAACCACATAAAACACATGACTTTTGTCGGTGCCTTACTTTTCAAAATTCTCATCCATGGGCCAAAGTAAGCTGATTAGCATCTTGTAGCATGAATTGACTGTGAGTGAACCATTGCCCTGCCCTCTCCAGATTAACTGATCAGTATTGTTGTCAAAACCAGAAAATGAAGATAAAAGATTGAAAATTTTGTAATATTTCTAACTTCCCAGCCATTAGGATTTCTTCTAGAGAGAATGTTCCAACTATTACCCTCCCTGCTTTGTGCTAAAGTAAGTTTGGTATCTTAAGCTAGATCGTAAAGCATAGGAAATAGATCTCTAAGAGGTGAATGTCCAAGCCAATTGCCAAGGCCATAAAGATACTTTTCTTCCATGGCCAACTCTGATTACAGTAGTCTGAGAAAAGGATAGCCAAAGAGCTCTAATGTTTCTCCAAACACTCACTCAATGAGGTGGGGACCCATCTTTGAAACCCATTCATTCATTTGACATACTTCACAGTGAAGACCTTTCTCCATGAAGTGTTGTCTTCATCATTAAATCTCCAACACCATTTCATCATTGCATTTTTAGATTCTTGAAACCCAAACCTCCTCCTTTTTGTGTGGTGACAGAGTTCTATTTGACTAGCTTGTCCATTCTCTTTTCTACTTTAATAGGCATTGGAAAACAAAGACGTAACATATGCCGGCATTGCGTCCAATACACTAGTAACTAGAATCAAGCGTCCCCCAAGAGAAAAGTATTGTTTCTTCCAATTGGATAGTCTCTTTTCATATTTTTCAATCACATCTTGCCATATAGAATCAGCTTTGTGTTTTGCCCCTAAAGGCAATCCTAGATATACTGTTGGGAGACTTTCTGTGTGACGGCAAAGAATAGCTGCCAGGTTGTGCAATTGTACTACTGAATTGACTGCATTTAGCCTGCTTTTTGCCCAACTGACATGATGCCCTGCAAATAGCCTCAAGACATTAAAAATCAATCTCAGATACCTTAGTTGTCTCACTTCTTGTTCACCAAAATTGAGTGTATCCTCAGCATATAGAAGATGTGTTGGAGAGATCTCTTTGCTGTCCTCTACTCATCTTAAAGCCCTTGATCCAGCCTTCATTTACTGCAAAAATCATCATTCACCAACAGGAATTGGATTGGAGATTAGGTCTCCTTGCCTCAACCCTCTTTGCGTAGCAAAGAATCCTTGTGGGGTGCCATTAATAGGAATAGAGAGTCGAACTGTAGTGATGCAATACTAAATCCAATTTTTGCTACTTCTGAAAAAGCCCAAATCTGTAAGAACATTGAGAAGGAAGCCCCAATTAACATGATCCTATGCCTTTGCAATATCAAGTTTGCACATTATGCCTGGTTTCCTGTCCCTTAGAGCGAAGATGGTCATTTGAAATTAAAGCTGCATCCATAATTTGCCTCCCTTTCAAGAAAGCCATCTGAATGTTGGAAATCAGCTTTGGCATAACTCTCACTCTAATCTTTTTGTGAGCAACTTAGTAACAATCTTGCAGAAACTTCCAATAACCCAATAGGCCTAAGGTCCTTCACTTCCCTGGCTGCTTTTTTCATAGGAATCAAAGCTATGTAGCATTAAAACTCTTCTCAAAATCTCTCCGGTTGTTCGGAGTAGTCAATAGCTTTCATAAAGTCTTCTTTTACACTTCTGGAAGAAGCCCATTGTTCACTTACAACCAATCCAATTTAAAGGGGTAGCAACTTGGCCTTTAGTATGTCCACTTACCGAAGACCCATTACAATTTATACTGAGGGAATTAAAAAAATTCTTGGATACTAAGCTGACTAATTATTACTCTCCCCGTCATATTTTATGTGAAGGTGTTTGGCTAGGCACGGAATTTAAGAATTAAAGAAGACTTTTGACATGTAAACCAAATATATACAAAGTACCAAAATAATCCTTTTAAATGAATGGTAGTGAGAGTTCCACATGTCTTTTCATTTTTCCTCTCCTAGAAGAATAAACTTTCATATCAATTGGGTCCCAACAAATCATGTCATTAAGATTAAAATAGGGATGCTAAACAGTTTCCAAAAAGAGAAAGTTGGCATTCTTTTTGTGAGACTAACAAGGAAAGTGTGTCGCATAAAGTGGGACATAGGGAGTATAAGCTAAAGAATATGGTTAGTGGAAATGCAATGGAAATGCTATAAATGGACCAGCTTTGTTTGGATTATTTCACCTCATTGAATTAGGTTTTCTTTTTGTTTCTGGTCTAATCAGTTTCATTAATCACAATAAGTGTTCAGATAACATAAAGAAAAGACAAATTTTGGAGCTATTACTTCCAAAAGAAAACTGATTATAAACAGTACACATAATTACTACTCTATATATTCAGAAACAATTTTAAAAATACAAGCCAACTAGGCTCTGTGCACTGGTACCATCGACTTAACATGAGAAAGCAACACAAGTACTACTGCTGATAAATTTATAATCCTTACCCGACTAAACTTGATGTCAGGAAGTTCACCCTTAAATTCAACTTCCCCTAAAGCAACTTCCAAATCCTGGTTAATTTTTTCAAAAAGAAGGTGATGTTAGTAGCCTATAGAGCTGATATCCATTTGAGCTTAAAGCAGTTGGCTTTAAAGATATGCATCGGATACTTTTATGCACCAGAACACCACAAGATTGAAAAGTAAAAAATGATGTGCTAAGATATGTAGATAATACCATGGTGACAAGGCGTAAATTAGTCCCTGGCGTAACAACATCCATTTCAGTTAGATCAAGCACAAGAGATCCCCAATCACCATTTACAATGTGCACAATGGATGCAAGCATAGCATACTGATGCTTCCTTTTCATCCGACAAAGCAAGCCAAAATCAAGAAACCTACAACAAGGGAGAGTTCGATGGGAGCAATAAGTACAACATTCCAACTTGTTTGCGTCTAATAGAAAATTGATTATTTCAGCAGAAACCATAAAGATACCCTATTTGTGCTGATGATGTGTATCTTAAATTTCCAGGATGTGGATCAGCATGTATTAACCCAGTGTCAAGGAGTTGAATTAGTGATGCCTGCACTCCTTTGTTAACCTAGAGCAGTAGTTGATAGAGAAGAATCTATCAGCATGAAAGGATCAACGATATTAGAATGATGCATCTCACATCATGCCATGCAAAAGAAGACAGTTCCTTAACCTTTCAAGATAACTACTCAAGTCTACTTTCCATTTTCTTTTCCAGATTGGTAGAGGAAAATCAAGCTGAAAGTGGGTACCTAACATAGCCACCTTTGATCATATTGATCTTGCCATAATTCATCAAGCACAAAGATGTACCATTTTGCTGACTCCTTTCTCTCTATTAATTTCGAATTCCCACAGCTTTATCTAAAGATCGTTAAAATTCTTGATCTATATAACATGTTGACCTTGAATTAAGCACCTTAGTAAATGCTTAAATAGCTATACAATAAGGATAATAATGTCTTGTTCTCAATGAAGTAAAGAATGATTAACGAACAAAACTAAATGCACCAGATCAAGCAGACGGCGTTTAGCTTCACTTTGGCGCCCCTCTCCATGTGTTGATTGATGAACAATAGAATCCTCGGTGGATATCATCATCAAATCAGTTGGACTCTCACCGACCAACCATTCCATAGTCAAAACTCTCTTTCCACTTAGACCTTGATAAACATTTGGAACACGGATGAAAGAATATCTAGAATGAACTTCCTGCAGTAGATGTTTGACAAGAGATAGTGAAAGACAATAACTAGAGCATATACTCAGTTACTCATTGAAAAGGAACAAAAAAAAAACAAATGGAGGAAAGCGTCTCATAGCTAGAGCATATTCTCAGTTACTCATTGAAAAGGAAAAGAACATACGTAGAAAAGAGTCTCATCTATGATCCAGAAGAAAAGGATTAAACTCTCAAAAGACAAAATTGTATGTGTAACCAAGCAATTTAGGTTAGAGCACCATAATTTCATGGCAAAACTGTATGCGCTTGTTGGATAATCACTTCAAATAAACTTCAACTTCAACATGCGCCCAAAATCAACTAAATAAGTAACAAGGAAGCAAGGTCCTGGTTAGTATCTTACTTCAGTGCATCAGAATGGCACATTGCTTCTTTTATATGAAGAGCAGATCAATTTCAGACATGCTTGTCTTTGTCACAACAGCAATCACCACATTGAATAAAGGAAAGTTGAGATATCATCTTAAATTTGAAGGCATTACATCAACCAACAGTGAAAAAATTATGTGAAGCTTATAAATCTTGCAGACACCACCAAGGACCACTATCATGGTTTAACATCTAAATCCATCAAAAGCATCTGCAATTAGCTAGTAGGACCTTCATTTATGCTTTTACAGCTGCTTTTGATTTTTATCTAACTGACTTCTCCCTATTTTCTTCTTATTTTTCTTCCTTTTTCCTTCGTTTTTTCATTTCATTTTTTTTGCTTATGAAAGGGAGGAGGAGGTTGTACAAAAACCGATCAAATACCTTAAACTCCAAAGCATTTTCAGCTTCCGAGGTGTAATCTAACTCCCCAACCAACCCTTTTCCGAGCTCGTCTGCATACAGACGAAGATCATTTTTCCTTTGGGCTATCTTCCGCACGAGTCCAAGCTGAAGCAGTTAATTGCTAGGTTAGTCTTGAATTCAATGATTATACGGGAAAAAATTCTGGCACAGGTAATTTAGACACGAACCGCAACACGAAGAATATATACATCCCGAACTACTACATGGTGCAAGTCTGGTCGCTGAACTTTCACTGCCACACTTGAACCATCGAGTGTACTCCCTTTATACACCTATACCGTATAAAGACAATATTATGAATAAACAATTTTGTGATATTAAGCATATCAATGACATTTCTCATATCTTCAATATTACGTAAAAGGGTGCACAGTGAAATATCCTACAATTACAAATATTAAAACCATCTACAAAACAGAGATAAAAAAGCCACCTGACCAAATGAAGCTGCAGCAACAGGTTCTTCAGAGATGTAGCTAAAATATGTCGTAACAGGAGAACCCAAATCTTCCTCAATGATCTTCATGGCCACATCCCTGGGGAAAGGTGGAATTCGATCGTGGAGCTCAGACAGTGCCTGCAATCACCATTCAAAGCACAGATGAAAATAGAACATGATCTACCATCTTTATATGTTTCATGTTTACAAAGAACATGGATACAGAACTCTAAGTGGCACGTGTGGCACTGTATAATCTTGTCGCACAACAATTCTGCTTTCCATGGAAAAACTAATCAGGAAAAAGCAAACTGTAACAAAGAACCCCACTGACCTAAATATGTAACTTGAAAGCAGGAAGCACTCTGCTCCTGGGGTGGTGGAATTGTGACCCCACAAGCTTTTCATTATTTCGTCAGATTCTAGTTCAAATAGAAATAACATGTAAGCATAGCAGGATTTCTTTTTTTATTTTTATAAAGTGGCATAGCTCTGGAATTGGCACAATAAACAGCAAGAAGAAATAGACCTGCTCGCTCATGTTAAAACAATCTACTTAATGGACCATTAGGATCAAGGAATTTATGTTGAGAACCAGCTAGCGCTACTGTCGGTCCTCTGTTCAGGTTTCTACTTAGGGAAAAGGTCCAAATTGCCCTTGTACTTCGCAAAAAGGTCTATATTTACCCTCCGTCAGAAGTTGAAGTCAATCATACCCTCACCGTTATACTTTTGGCTAAAATGCCCTTACTTACTAACGGACAACTATTAAAGTCTAATTAGTTTTTAAATGATTGTCATGTGTCAGCTTAATTTTAACCCAACCATATTAGCCACATTTACCACCACCCCTCCCCTTCATTTTGTTGCCTGTGTACCCACCCCCAAGAGAAGGCAAGCTTTACCCACAGATCAATCAACAGCTATGCACTTTATGAATCTAGACGCACTCATTCTTCAAACCCAAATCTCCCTTCTTATCAATTCTCTTAACTTCTTCTTTACTTGCCCAAAATCTCCTCGTTTTTCTCTGAATATCTATATGTACTCTCTTCACCTACTCTGCAATCTAAAAGTTCTTAGGAGAAAATTGCTCTTAAAATAGTAGAAACAACAATTGACGAGAAGCAAAACCACTAAAATGTTAACATATAGGAACAAAGAGAAAGAGATAAAGACCCACCTTTATGGTTTAAGCATTTAGAATAGATGACCACAGGTAATTTTAAACAATGAAGAATTATGTAGCCATGGAGGAACGAAGAAGACAACAATATAACTAAAGCTACTGCGTCTATTTCGCAAGAAATCCAACTTGGCTTAGCATTTTCACACTGATTCGACATGGCTCCTTGAGCCCCATTGTTGTTACTGTTCATTTGGGCATTCATCCCCACTGATTTCGCGCTGTATTCTGTTCCTTTATTCCGATGGAAGTTAGTTACGGTGATGAAGAGGGATTTTTTGGGGAGAGAGACTGAAAGTGGTGTTGATGAAGGTGGTCTGACTGTAAAAATAGTGGTGAAACTTTTGGTAGAAGGTGGTAGACCAGCAGTGAAGTAGTGGTTGTTTTGGTGTGAAGGTGGAGGGGAGTGGAGGAAGCTGGAAAAAAGGGAATAACTAAAATAGAGCAATGTGTCGGCCTCTACTGCTAATCAGCACAATCAGAGATAATTAAGACTCAAATAAAGGCCCGTCAATAAGGGCATTTTTAGCCCAAAAGTATACCACCGAGGGTATGTTTACAAGAGTTTTTGACCTTTTCCTTTCTACTTTGTCCTTGATAAAGAAATGGACTTTGGGCTTAACTCAACCTTAAAAGCTAGCTCATGGGGTGAGGATTGACCAAGACATATAAAGAGACCACCCATCCCTTAAACAACCCATGAGGGACTCTCTTCAACACTCCCTCGCATGCCCAGGACCATACATCTGGAGCGTGGATAATATAATACATGCGTCCGACATCACAAAACGAGAATTGGAATGGGTCTTGCTCTGATACCATGATAAATAAATGAACTTTGGACCTCATTCAACTCCAAAATCTAGCTCATGAGGTGAGAATTGTCCAAGCCATATAAAGAGACCAACTATCCCTTAAACAGCCGATGTGGGATTCTTGGTATCAGCCAGGCTGATAGCTTACTCGGCAAAAAGCCTTTTAGACAAAAAACTTGGGTCTTGTCAAGTGTGAATTTAGCGAAAAAGGTATTAAAATTAATTTTGAGAGAGGAGAAGTGAGAGCTTCTTTTTTTTTATATTTTATATTAAACCGCCTTGTAGCGGCATGGAGTTTGGCTTAGACCCCTACCTCATAAATTAAAATCCAAAAAGTAAATACACCACGGAGGGGGACAAAACCTAACCTCCATGTGAATTGGGCATCCCATTATTCACCCAAAAATAAACTTTATCTGATAATTCATGTGACCAGTTGTGTGCATTTGCACGATATGCTAAGTTAAACAGCACTCCTCTCTGTAATATGTGAAACAATAAGAGTCAACGCGAAAAACATCACTACTTATGTATGAGAAGCGAGAGCTAAGAGAGCACATTAGGAACCCTAGTAACTAAAAAATTTATCACTTAATATAGTTAATTTATATTTCACTTTAATTTTTATTTCACGATCCAGTCAATATAGTACCTTGTTACGTGGTGAGGGTTACGAATCAACACAAAAAACACTTCTAGTTTTCATTTTGTGCATTAGTAGTGGGGACGCAAGCGGTATGCGAACAATGACGGCGAACTGTATAAGGGAGGCAGCGAGAGAGATGTTAGGGGTCTCGAAGGGTTACTATGGCGGTCACAGAGGCGATTGGTGGTGGAATGAAGAGGTCAAGGGAAATGTGGAAGCAAAGAAGGTGGCGTACATGAAGTTAGTGGAGAGCACAGACGAGGAGGAGATGAGAGCGAACATAGAAAGTTATAAGAAAAATGAAGGAGGCGAAGTTAGCGGTCACGGAGGCTAAGACTGCAGCATATGAATCTGTATGAAGAACTGGGGATAAAGGCGGGGACAAGAAGTTATTCCGTCTAGCCAAGGCGAGAAAGAGGAAGGCTCGTGATCTGGACCAAGTGAGGTGCATCAAAGACGAGGAAGGCAGAATGTTGATGGAAGAACCTCAGATTAAGCGAAGATGGCAAACTTACTTTCATAAACTTCAGAATGAAAAGGGGGACACAGACAGTGTGCTAGGTGAATTGGGGCACTCCAAGAGTCACCGAGATTTTAGGTACTATAGGCGCATTAAGGTTGAGGAGGTCGTCCGGGTTGTGCGTAAGATGAGCAGGGGCAGAACGACCGGGCCAGACGAAATTTCGGTAGAATTTTGAAGGTATGTGGGTAGAGCAGGCTTGGAGTGGTTGACTGGGTTGTTTAATGTTATTTTCAGGACGAAAAGGATGCCATATGAATGGAGGTGGAGTACGATGATACCACTGTACAAGAACAAAGGTGATATCCAGAATTGTAACAATTATAGGGGTATCAAGTTACTAAGTCATACCATGAAAGTTTGGGAGAGGGTGGTGGAAGTGAGGGTGAGGTCGGTGTCTATATCCGACAACTAGTTCGGGTTCATGCCTGGTCGTTCAACTACAGAAGCTATCCACCTTATTAGGAGGTTGGTGGACAGTACAGGATAGAAAGAAGAATTTGCACATGGTGTTTATTGACCTAGAGAAAGCGTATGACAAGGTCCCTAAGGAGGTTTTTTGGTGATGCCTAGAGGTAAAAGGTGTTCCGATAGCTTACATTAGGGTGATTAAGGACATGTACGATGGAGCTAAGATTCGGGTTAGGACAGTAGGTGGTGACTCAGAGCATTTTCCGGTTGTTATGGGGTTACATCAAGGATCTGCGCTCAGCCTGTTCTTATTTGCCCTGGCGATGGACGCACTGACACACCATATTTAAGGGGAAGTGCCATGGTGTATGTTATTCGCTCTGATTGATGAGACACGAGGCGGCATTAATGAGAGGTTGAAGGTTTGGAGACAAACCCATGAGTCTAAAGGTTTCAAGTTGAGCACGACTCAAATAGAATACTTGGAGCGCAAGTTCAGCGACGTGTCTAGGGAAGCGGACATGGACATGAGGCTTGACTCACAAATCATCATCAGAGAGGAAGTTTCAAATACCTTGGGTCAGTTATCCAGGGGATATGGAGATTGACGAGGATGTAACCCACTGTATATGGGTGGGGTGGATAAAATGGAGGTTAGCATCTGGCGTCTTGACTCTTGTGTGACAAGAATGTGCCACCGAAACTTAAAGGTAAGTTCTATAGAGCGGTGGTTAGACCGGCCATGTTATATGGGGTAGAGTGTTGGCCAGTCAAGAATTCTCATATCTAGAAAATGAAAGTAGCAGAAATGAGGATGGTGAGATGGATGTGCAGGCACACTAGGCTGGATAAGATTAGGAATGAAGATATTCGGGTGAAGGTGGGCGTGGCTCCCATGGAAGACAAGATGCGGGAAGCGAGGCTTAGATGGTTCGAGCACGTGTGGAGAAGAAGCCTAGATGCCCTGGTAAGGAGGTGTGAGCGGTTGGCTTTAGCGGGTATGAGAATAGGCAGAGGACGGCCTAAGAAGTATTAGGGAGAGGTGATCAGGCAGGACATGGCGCGGCTTCAGATTTTCGATTTCCGATGACATGGCCCTTGATAGGAAGATGTGGAGGTCGAGCATTAGGGTTGAAGGTTAGGAGGAAGTTGAGCGTTTTTCTACTTCGTACTAGGTTTGAGGATAGTCTGATAGTGTTTTGTCTTAGATTGCTAGTGGTCCATGTTGTGTCCATACTATTTTTTCGTTTTCATAGTACCGTGCCATTGTTACCGGTTATTGTTATTGCTTTTCCATCTATTTTCTGGTTCTTACGTTGTTGGTATTATCTTTCTGGCTTCAATTGTGTTACTGAGCTACTGTCTCTTTTCGTCTTCTCGAACCGAGGGTCTATCGGAAACAACCTCTCTACTCCTCCGGGGTAGGGGTAAGGTCTGCGTACACAATACCCTTCCTAGACCCACTTGTGGGATTATATTGGTAGTTATTGTTGGTGGTGGTGTGAGGGTTACGAAAGAAGGAAAAATGTATCAAAAAGTCTTCTATTTTTACCTATCAAAAAAATGAATGAAACACATGCATTACCAATTTTGCCTTGAAGTGTTTTAATCTCTAAGGGGTCGTTTGGTTGGTGGGATAGGATACACAAGGATATCTTATGGGTTGGGATATCCCACGGGATTAGCTATCCCACCTTCTACATGGGATAGCTAATCCACCATTTTGGCACAAAATGGTTCCCGAGACTAATTAATACCCATAACCAAATGCGGGATAAAATAACCCTGCATTTTATCCCGGGATTGTTATCCCTTATCCTACCAACTAAACAATCCCTAACCGTAACAAAGTACTATATCGATTGGATAGCGAAACAAAAATTAAATTGAAATATAAATTAACTATAATTAGGTGATAAAAAAAATTAGTTGCTAGGGTTTCTAAATTGTGTTCACTTAGCTTCTCATACAAAAGTGATGTTTTTTATGTTGGCTCTTATTGTTTCACATATTACAGAGAGGAGTCCTCTCTAAACATAGCATAATCATACAAATGCACACAACTAGTCACACTGATTATCAGATGCAAATTTTTTTGGGTGAATTTGGGGATGCCCAATTCACATAGAGATTAGGTTTTGTCCCCCTCCATGGTGTATTTACTTTTTGGATTTTAATTTACGAGGTAGAGGTCTACGCCAAATCCCCCCCCCCACAAGGCAGCTTAATATAAAATTTAAAAAAAGAAGCTTCACTTCTCTTTTCTCAAAATTAATTCTAGTTCTTTCTCGCCAGATTCACACTTGGCAAGACCCAAGTTTTTGGTCTAAAAGGCCTTCAGTTTAGCGAGCTTATAGTCGCAAGCATTGATGCATTGAAAGAAAATGACCTCGGACTAAAGAAAAATGTGGTGACACATGTAATCATCTTACAGTGTAATCACCATTATCTTCTATTATTAATGTTAACTTGCACTGCACCTCTTTAGTTGTATCAAATTAACTTCAGCAATAGTAGAGAAGTGCACATGAAATTTGAAGTGACTTGGTTCGTGCATGATATGACGTTTTTCAACTTAACTAGTATGTTCTCCGTTTAACTTAAAACTGAGTATAATAAACTGGATATACCCATTATTCTACAGATTCTATTCTAAGAAATTTTACCAAAGTAAAAGTAAAGATACACCTTTAGTTCATATTGATACTTGCCTTTTTTTGGAAGAATCGGAACCAACTTCCAGACATTTTTTTTTTCTGGAAGTGACTTTCAATCATTACATTAAGGGGTCGTTTGGTTCCAATATGGGATATCCATGGATTAATAATCCCAGGATTATAATTATCCGACATCCAATGTGAATAGCTAATACCAAGTTTTTTATATAAAACTTCTACAGGTATTAGCTAATACCTATAACCAAATATGGGATAAATGTAATCCCAAATATTATCCCGGGATTAGTATCCCTATCCTGATAACCAAATGACCCCTAATAGACTAGCCTAACTATCCTCCCGCATGTAGATGGTAACTGGTAAACCCCACCCTATTACCCAGAAGTTGAACAGTGGCTATTCCATACTTTTGCTCCCTTGGCGACTGAAACCCCCAACCTTATGGTTTGAGGAGAAGGGTCCATATCACTAGGCTATTCTCATGTCCACATGTATGAATTCTCTTGATCCCCAAATTTTTCTTACAGATTATTGTACCTTTTATATATTTTTAATACTTAAAAATATCAGATCATCGGTGATGTTAATCCAATTGGATTATACAGATGGAGATTACATATAACACTACTCAACGGGGAAGAAAAAGCACAACCAACAAATCCTATACATTACTTGTAGAAAATAATGCATATCAACTATGAAGTTTGACAAAATAACATTGGTGAAAAGAGTAGTATAAAGGACATATGTGTGTAAACTAACCTTTGAAATATCAGCACCAATTATGTCGGGCCTTGTTGAGAGGGACTGACCAACTGCGCAACATGAAAAATAGCATTAAACTGGTATCTGTTGATTAGAAACGAAATACACTTAATATGCAATTCATCGAATGACTTCAAACCAGAAAAAGAGAATACAGCAATAGTTCATAGAGAGCACTGGACAATAACAACCGAAAATTAAGGTAGTCCTCAATACTTACTCTTGATAAAAGTAGGCCCAAGGTTTAGCATTGTTTCCTTTAAAACCTTCCCAAAAATGTAGTTTGAAGTTTCCTTCTCAACATCTTTATTTGAAGTGGGGAGAAGTCCTGATATTCTAATTTGGATTGCAGCCGAAGTGAAGGCAACAAATACCTTACAAAACATAAAGCCCCATAAGATTGCAATTTTACAGATTTACCTTGTTAACAGCTCTATTACGTAGAGGAATCAGATAAGGTAATAACAAATGTTTCACAGAGTCATGAGTTGCCTAAAACTAGACATAAGCCATGAGGTCAAAATCATTGTCTCTCTCTCAGTTTTACCACGATATTAGTAGCAAATATACAGTCATAGAGAAGTCATAAAACCTACACTTGACAAGTGTTCCCCGTTTGACCTGATTCAGCATATAGCAGTTCTTATTGTCAACTACAATTGAGTCACATAGTACATGCGTTACATATCTTCTAGTATAAACTCTAACTGATTATGCCAAATGCAAATTTCTAGTCGCTTTGTGGAGATTCAACTAAAAAAATATAAATTGCTCGAGTTAAAGTTAAAGTTAAAAATGGCTAATTAAATATTAAGACAATATTGGTTGAGCTAATATCAAGGAAGAGGAGTGTAATGAAGTGACACATTCAGCCCTATCACTACTCAAACTAATAGTAAGAAAGTGGAGACAATTGAATGGCAATGGATGATTAGTTATGAGAGACCATTGAAGTTTACTATAATGGGTTAGAGTTTTATTACTGGTAAAGATAACGACATCTCAGATGTGCATGCAGTAAAAGAAATAAGAAAAGAACTCACGGCTACAAGTTAATCATATGATATGACTAATAGTAAGAAAGTGGAGACAATTGAATGGTAATGGATGATTAGTTATGAGAGACCATTGAAGTTTACTATAATGGGTTAGAGTTTTATTACTGATAAAGATAACGACATCTCAGATGTGCATGCAGTAAAAGAAATAAGAAAAGAACTCACGGCTACAAGTTAATCATATGATATGAGGTATATACGTATTTGAGGTCTAGACTTGAGAACAAGTCTAGGATAACTCCAGATAACCCTGGCCCAAAGACTAAACCAAAAGCAGTAACTTCCAATTGTTGCCAAATTGCTCCCACAAGGTTGCTGACAAATATCCTTCTAAATGAGAGAGGACTCGAGATGCGTGAAAATGTGTACCCAGGGTTCAGTTAGACGTATAATGGGAAAAATGCAAACAGGTTGTTGACCATTAACCCAATTTGACTGCTTGAACAGGAGAGATGAACCAAAGCCAAAATAATACTCTTAATTACCTCGAGCAGACGAAGAGCCACCACATGGGGTCTCAAATTGAAATATTCCGACACTTGTTCTGGATCATACGTTTCAGGAAGTGGCTTGGTCCATCGCTTTGATATGCAGTAGAAATAATTAAGATATGCCTCCAACGCTTCAATATCAGCCACAAACAAATCCATGCCAGATAGTTCTGCTAAAAGATGCCAAGCTTCAATGTCAAACATCGTTGAACAAGGATTGCATTAAGTTTATTTTACTGTCTAACAACCTGAAAATGGACATAAGTAATAAGCATTACCCCGGCACACCACACATAAAGCCATACACAAAAGAAAATTAGCAATATATTCCTAGATCTTATCATAGAGAAACAAACTAGCTGCTGCGAGCCTGGTTTAACATACTTTATAAGGAGAAAGGCAAAATTTGACCTGGTCTTCCCATCGCCCTTCAATAGGGAAAGGATCCCCTCCTGTGGATTTTGCTCCATTACTCTTCAATGGAGTTATGGGCGTGTCACGTGCTTAAAATGGCTTTGAAAGATTCCAATCTTGCATTATAAACTCAATTTATTTTTTCTCTATTCGTTTAGAACTTGTTTCTTCTTTTCTTGTGCAGTAGCAATAAAATACAACTAGTTCTTTGTTTCTTTTCTTTCATTTATTATTTTTGTACTTGATTATTATTTTATTTTTTAATTACTTAGTGTATTAAGAAAATAATTTATTATTTAATTTGTCTAATATGTTAAGATACGTTTGTTTTAAGTTAATGTACAGAACGCAAGATCCAAACCTTTAAAAGTTATTTTTAAAACATGCCACACATCCATTGATTTGCTATCCTCCTTACTTTACAACTCTTAGAGTCGCTCCATTAGTCAGTTTGTTAGTGTCATGATTATTCTTTCATTATTATGGTTCTGTGACTAGTATTGCACTTTCTTTCTATATTTTCGAGATGGATTTAATATTACTGTGTTGCAAATGGTTGATTAATAATGGTGGAGACCAGTTTTTGGTTAGGTGGTGTTTGTTGTGTTATTTAGCTGAAATAGGAAAATTTTGGATAGTCCTAAAATAGGAAAAACTCTGCTTGATTTTCTGGAAAAATATCGATAAGGCCTTCTTGGGAACACTAACTCCTCACGGTCCTAAATTGGGTCGTGACAATTTATATTGAAGAACCTTTCATCGATAACATGAACATCAATAATGTAAGCCAGCAAGCTTCTCCTCAAGAGCATCCAACTTAGATGTCAGGATATAATTCAGTCACAACTGGATTCAAACAAGAAACTTCATGAAGCAAATCAATTGTCACCTCGTCAAAAGGATCATTGAATTCTTGAAGTGGTCAATCAATTTTTACAAAACACTTCAACATGATAATGATGTAAGACAATATAATCAACAGTTTTACGTTGACCAAGTAAATCAATAACTGCTCTCTTTAGAAATTAAGCACTAGTATCGTGAATATGAACAATGTACTAGTATCATGAATATGAACAATGTCAATTAGTTGCTCCATCACAAATCTCACCCTATCAACATATCTTAAAACAATTGTCATTTGCTCTTTGGGTGACACATCAACTAATAAGGCAAAATAGTGACCATATAATTATTCTATGATATCTATAATTGTTTCTATTTTACATGCAGTTACAATATCTTTTTGAATCATTGGAAAAGTCATCTGAAAATTTTTGGGAGCATGTTCTGATACATAAATATAAATGTCATCACACCTTTTCGCATACCATGAAAGAATCTCAAGGAACTTGGTCCCTGTTAAGTGACGATTTAAATTCATCATATGACGCTCGGCTAGGGGGCAGTCGAGCATTTTTCCCTCTCTGTACTGGATAGTCTGATAGAGTTTTGTCTAGGACTGATAGCCGTTTATGTTGTGTTCACACTATTTTTTGTTTTGTATAGTATTGTGTTGTTGCCCTTTCACTTATTTGTTATCTCTTACGACGTTGTTATTATTATTATTTTTATTTTTATTTTTGGTTCTTTTGTTGTTATAGATCTATTCTTTTGTTCTTTTTTGATATTATTGTATTTTCTGTTGAACCAAGGGTCTCCCGGAAACAGCCTCTCTACCCTTCCGGGGCAGGGGTAAGGTCTGCGTACACTGTACCCTCTCCAGACCCCACTATTGGAATTTTACTGGATTGTGTTGTTGTTGTTGTGACCCCGAAATGCCAATTTCAAAAAATCTTACTATATCAATTGAAGCAGTTAAGCGAACTCAATATGCATGCTTAACTTGCCTCTCAAATGCAGATTGAATAGATTGTTGTTGCCGTATTAGATCTTCACATTTCTTTGCCTAAATATAAATGTTATTCGTACTTCCAAATATGTTTTTCAAAGCTAGTCTTTTTATGTCAACTCCTAAACACTATACTCGAAAATACATCACATCCACCTTGATGAAAGTTATCGTCTTTAAATAACTAACAATTCAAACAATATGTCGCATCCTTGTTTACATTATATTCCAACCAATCATGATAATCATCATATCATTTAGGATTATTTAGGATTAATCATAAAACCATTTAATATTAAAACGATGCATTTATCGAGGAAAATCTGTTTAAGAAAACTTATGATTCCGAGGTTGACAAGGACTTCTCTAAAGATATGCTTTTATAAATACATCATGAAGATTTAGATGATAGTTCAAGACTTGAGTTCTTTCAGCTTATCATCGTTGTCTGCTCGTCACCAATCGCCAATCATGGCAGCCAAGATAAGTTCCCTGCTCTCTTTTCTTTTTCTTTTTTCAGAAAGTCAAAGTACTATAGATCCTTTTTGTAGACTGTGATTGGGTTAGTTGTTTTTAGAAATGGAATTGGGTAAATATCGGGAAAGAGATACTTGGATAATGGATATATGATTGAGTATTTGAATTGATTTTATTTCTCTATAATTGTCAAGGAAATAACAGCAGTGACGCTTCAGACAAAGGCATATAATGTGTCTTTAATATATAAATATTAAAGTGTGATTTTCCCAATAGTCTCATGTCAGACATGTGTAAGAGTTTACTTTGCACTTTTTCAAAACACTTTCTTGAATCTTGATCCCAAACTTAAATATTGTCCGCTTGTCCGGTACAATGGTGTGAAGGAAGTCTTTCTTCTTTGCCTCTATAGCTAATGACAGTTGTAGTTGCATATAAGAATCAAATTCATAACGACTATAGAGTCTTAACGGTTAATAACTTTCTGAAAGTGAATAGAAATTTTTAATAGTATGAATTTTTATTGCAAACTTCACGTGTATTTGTCTGTGTGCATAAGACTGTTAGATTGTTCTTCTAACTAAATTCTTACTTTATAATTCAGTTTCTAAATTCCATGAAGTATTTTACTGAAGTACCAAAATCAAGTTCTGCTCTCATAATCAACCTAACCGGAGAGAAAATTCCAACCAGTCAGAAGTATCATTGCATTCTTCTTAGCAACAAGATATTGATTTAGATTTTCTAAATCAAATCTTGGACTATCATCCAAATCATCATGATTTATAAGAGCATACCTTCATAAAGGTTCTTGTCAACCTCCTCGGAATCATAAGTTTTTCCAAACGAATTTACCTTGAGCAATGAATCATTCTAATCCTAAATGACTTGATAATTATCATGATTGGTTGGGGTATAGTGTAAGTAACAATACAACATATTGTTTTTTTATAAGGAACGATGCAACATACTGTTTGAATAGTTACTTATTTAAAGACAATAACACTCATCAAAGTGGAGGTAATGTATTTTCGAGTATAGTGCTTAAGAGTTGGCATACAAAAAGGAGCTTTGAGAAACATATTGGATGGATGAATAGCATTTATAGTCAGGCAAACAAAGAAATGCCACGATCTAATGCGCAACAACAGTCTATTTAATCTGCATTCAAGAGGCAAGCTAATCAAGTTAAACATGAGTATTGGGTTCGCTTAGCTGTTTCAATTGATGTAGTAAGACTTCTTTTAAAACAAGGATTGGCATTTCGAGATCATGATAAATCTAAATCATCACTTAACAGTGGCAATTTTCTTGAGATTCGGTCATCGTATGTGAAAACATGTGATAACTTTCATTATTATATATTAGTACATGTTCCACAAAACAATCAAATGATTTCTCCAATGATTCAAAAAGATATTGTAACCGCATGTAAGATAAAAATAGTAAAGTTGTCATAGAGGAATTAAATGGTGACTATTTTGCCTTATTAGTAGATGAATCTTTTGATGTGTCATGCAAGTAGCAAATGACTGTTGTTTTACAATATGTTGATAGAATGAGATTTGTGATACTTAGTGAAATTGTTCATGTTTAAGATACTAGTGTTTTATCTCTAAAGAGAGCAATTGTTTATTTACTTTTTCAACATTCATTGAATCTATTTGATGTGCATGAACAATGTTGCGATCGCGCAAGTAATACACAAAATTAGATCAATGGTCTTAGAATATTGATTAGGCAAGAAAGCAAATTGGCCTATTGTATTCATTATTTGCTCATCAGCTTCAACTAGTCCTAGTTGCGGTTTCTAAAATTATATTCAAGTGGGAGAACTTGTACCATTGATTTCAAATATTTTGAATGTGTTGGGAGCTTATGTTACGAGAATCTCAAAGAGAAAGAATTCAAAAGGTATTAAATATGGATAAGCTTAAAACCGATAACATCTTGTATTAAGAACTAAACCAGTGATTATGCATCAGGGGTCTCACTACAAATCTTTTAACAATTTTATTTTTATATTTGGCTGTATTATTGATTTACTTGATGCATTTGTTTTTGATGCACATTCTATAGATTAAACAGCTAAAGCAACGTGATATCTCATAACTTGTCAAACATTTGAGGTTATTTTTATGTTGCATTTGGTGAGAGATATTTTTAGGAATCACAAATGAACTTAATAAATCCTTACAGAAAAAGGAGTAGGATATTACAAAAGCCATGATACTTGTTGAAGTAGCAAGGAGAAGACTTTACAAGACAATGAATGGGATGCGTTTATCCATTTGCTATCTGTATTTCGTATCAAGTAAGACATTTTGGTACCTAATTTAATGAGCTATATGTTAACTCTGGAAGATAACGGCATAAACCTACTGATTATACTATCTTACATCTTTATCGTGGTGAAATATTTTATAAAATTATTGATTGACAACTTTAAGAACTCAATGATTGTTTTGACAAGGTGAAAATTGCTTCATGTATCTCTTGTTTGCATGGATTCATTTTCTAGTTTTGGCATAAAGAATACAATGAGAATGACTAAATTATATCCTATTGAGTTAGGCTGAGTGCTCTCGATCAACTTGCGGCTTACATTATTGATGTTCATGATATCCTTGAAAGATTTTCCGATCTATATGGACTTTTTGATGTTTCAAGAAAATTAGTGCTGACAAAGAAGCATTTAAAATTTCCTTTTGCATTCCACTTAGTGAAAGTTGTTTTGCTTCTGCTCTTGCCACTACATCCGTTGAAAGAGCTTTTTCGACAATGAAGTTTATCAAGAATCGAATTAATGATGAACTTTTGAGCAGTTGCGTGGTGCCTTATGTAGAAAGAGATGTATTTAATAGTATTTCTAATGATGTTATTGTTAAAAACATTTAAGAAATGAAAACTCATCAAGTATGATTGTAATAATGTATTTAAATTTCACTAGTAAAATTGTGATCTTTAGGCTTTTTCACGTGTTTACTATATATTTTGAATCCCATTGGTAAATATTTTGCCTCTCCCACTGGTTGACAAAGCCCCGGTAAGAAACTCCTTTTTCCAAATGGTGATATCTTGTGAGTCTTTTAAGCAAATACCACTAGACAAATGATTTTCTACCTCATTTCAACACTATAGTACTCAGTTTTTTCAGTCCAATCACATCATGCTGCTATAAAGACTAATTCAGACACACTGTGCTACCTATTTCTTCAGTTTCATGGTCATGGAATTCCCACCCTGACCGAATTTTTAAAAAAAAAAAAAAATAGAAAGAGAAAAAAAGGGGAAAATATAGTACCTTGTTACTGCATAAGAACACAGGCAAAACATCAATCACATACTCGGCATTACATAACAAAGTACAACATGTTATAATCCCCGTTAAAATTAAATTCCAAGTAAACCAACAAAAAAGAAAAGAAAAAGGGGCACCTGGATAGTGAGGCTGAGGGCAGGTAGGAGCATCAGAAACTGTTACAGAGGCCCGCGGGTCCTCAACATGACGAAGCCAAATGAAATTATCAAGGGACTTTGTAAGTTTCGGAATGCCAAAGGCTTTGTTAGCCCATTGCAACCCCTCGCCAATTCCCCTCTTTATAAACTCCGCGTCCTTTTTAACCACCTCAGTTACGTTCCCAATGGCACTCTGTTCTAACTTTTGCCTTTGTTTTTGCTTTTGGGTCTTGCTATTTTTCCTTATTGTGCCTGAAGAAGCCCACACTTTATGTGAAGGAATTAGAGGTGTCAATGGTGCTGCTAATGCTGCAGCAAATACCATTTTGGACTTCAATACAACGAAACAGAGAATTCTACTTTTGGGGATAATTCATAGGCAAAGTAGAGGCAGTAGAAAATGGAAGAGGAGGCAAGTGTGTAGTGAACGGAAGTGGACTGTCTTGGTTTCTGGGTTCTGAGTTTTTGTGGCTCTGGTTAAAGTGTTCTCTACGTGGAGTGTAGATTAATTAGTTTTTAGCCCCTGAAGTTTTGGTAAATGTGGAAGACCATTCAAGTCTGAGAAACTACATCTGATTATCCCCTTCTTTTATTTTTACTTTTTTGTAAGTTTAAAGTGAGAGCAAACTCTAAATTTTAGAAATTGATTTATTTTATCAAAATTTAGGCCGGCGGATGCTTCTTTTGATTCCTCTGTATATTTTAGAAAAACTAGTCTTGTGATACGCACTTTGCGCGTGTATCTCAGCTCAAAGAATAATTTTTTTACATAAATACATATATAATATATTTAAATTATAAAATAAAATTTTAACTCTTGAAATTGTTAAATATTAATCCAATATAAACAACTCAACGGATGAAAAAAACATGTCTTATATATATATATATATATATATATATATATATACTTTTTTTTCTCTACAATTTCTGCGACTTTTCTCTCTCCCCAACTTTTCTCTCTCTCTCTGCGACGCACAGCCCTAACGGCTACTTAACAACCGGCGACCAGCACAGCCGTCGGCGACCACCCTCCCCCAAGGTAAGTCTCCTTTCTCTCATCCCCATCTCTCTTCCCTCATCTCTCTCACATCCCTCATCTCTCTTTCACGTCTTGTTCCTCTTCCCCTCTCACTGCCGGCGCGACGCAGGCGACGCCTTTCTTCCCCCTACTTTGTCCGGCCGTCCTCTTATCCTCCTAGTTCTTTGAAATATCTCCTTAATTAATTACGTTTGAAAAGGTGTCAAAACTGGTCCAAACCTGCTAATCCAATAATTATGACTAAATATACCAAACGGATATAAAGCTGAAGCTTTATAAAAATCAAAATTCTGACCTCACCTCATTTTCAGTCTCACTGCCATCCCCGGCTGCTCCTANAAGAGGAAGGTCAATATAGCGTGTGTCCAGGAGACTCGGTGGGTAGGATCGAGGGCGAGGAATGTAGACGAGTATAAGTTGTGGTACTTTGGAGTCCTAAAGGGTAAGAATGGTGTAGGCATTTTGGTGGATAGGGAACTTAGAGAGTCTGTGGTAGAGGTTAGGCGGGTGAATGATAGGTTAATTTATATTAAGTTGGTGGTTGGAGAGTTCACCCTAAATATTGTTAGTGCATATTCGCCACAAGCGGGCTTGGACGAGGAGGTTAAGAGGAACTTCTGGGAGGGGTTGGATGAGATTGTACGTAGTATCCCGCCTGCTGAGAAGTTATTTATAGAAGGGGATTTCAATGGTCATATTGGGTCGACTGCAGGCGGCTATGGCGAGGTATATGGCGGCTTCGGTTTTAGGGATAGGAACGCATGAGGTACTTCGCTGCTGGATTTCGCTAAGGCATTTGAGCTGGTGATTGCTAACTCTAGTTTTCCGAAGATGGAGGAGCATTTGGTTACTTTTCAGAGTACCGTGGCAAAGACTCAGATTGACTATCTTCTCCTTATGAGGTGCGACAGAGGGTTGTGTAAGGATTGCAAGTTTATCTCGGGTGAGACCCTCGTGATGCAGCATAGGCTCTTGGTGATGGACGTCGGTATTATGATGAAGAGGAAGACGAGAACTGCATGAGGTCGACCGAGGATCAGGTGGGGAGCCTTGACTAAGAATAAAGCTCAAGAGTTGGAAGTGAGGTTATCGGTTGTGGGAACCTGGAGGAGTAGTGGGGACGCGAGCGTTATATGATCGACGACGGTGGATTATATACGGGAGGCGGCGAGAGAGGTGTTGGGAGTCTCGAAGGGTTACGCTGGCGGCCACAAAGACGACTGGTGGTGGAATGGAGTGGTCCAAGGTAAAGTGGAAGCGAAGAAGGCGGTGTACCTGAAGTTAGTAGGGAGCACATGTGAGGTAGAGAGGAGTGAGAACAGGGAGAGGTATAAAGTAGCTAGGAAGGAGGCAAAACTGGCGGTCATGGAGGCTAAGACTGCGGCTTTTAGTCATTTGTATGAGGAACTAGAGGCCAAAGGCGGGGAGAAAAAATTATTCCGACTAGCTAAAGCGATAGAGAGAAAGGCTCATGATCTGGACTAAGTGAGGTGCATCAAAGACGAGCACGGTAGAGTATTGATGGGAGAGGCCCAGATTAAGCGGAGATGGCAGACTTATTTTCATAAACTTTTGAATGAAGAAGGGGATCAGGATATTGTGCTAGGCGAGTTGGGGCATTCCGAGAGTCACCGCGATTTTGGGTATTGTAGGCACATCAAGGTTGAGGAGGTCGTGGGGGCTATGCGTAAGATGAGCTGGGGAAAAGCTACCGGGCCTAACGAGATTTCGGTATAATGTTGGAGGTGTGTGGGTAGAGCAGGTTTGGAGTGGCTGACTAGGTTGTTTAATGTTATTTTCGGGATGAAGATGATGTCGGACTAGTGGAGGTGGAGTATAGTGGTTCCGTTGTACAAGAACAAATGTGACATTCAAAGTTGCAACAACTATAGGGGTATCAAATTATTGAGTCATACCATGAAAGTTTGGGAGAGGGTGGTAGAAGCGAGGGTGAGGAGAATAGTGTCTGTATCAGACAACCAGTTTGGGTTCATGCCGGGTCGTTCTAATACGGAAGCTATCCACCTTATTAGGAGGTTGGTGGAATAATACATGGATAGGAAGAAGGATCTGCACATGATATTTATTGACGTGGAGAAAGCGTATGACAAGGTTCCTAGAGAGGTTCTTTGGAGATGTCTAGAGGCTAAATATGTGTCAGTTGCTTATATTAGGGTGATTAAAGACATGTATGATGGAGCTAAGACTCGGGTTAGGACAGTGGGAGGCGACTATAAGCATTTTTCGGTTGTTATGGGGTTACACCAAGGATCTGCGCCCAGCCCATTCTTATTTGCCATGGTGATGGACGTACTGACACACCATATTCAAGGAGAGGTGCCATGGTGTATGTTATTCATTGTTCTTATTGACGAGACGTGGAGTGGCGTTAACGAGAGGCTGGAGGTTTGGAGACAACCCCTTGAGTCTAAGGGTTTCAAGTTGAGCAGGACGGAGACGGAATATCTTGAGTGCAAGTTCAGTGCCGAGCCGATGGAAGCAGTCATGGACGTGAGGCATGGATTGCAGGTCATTTCCAAGAGAGACAGTTTCAAGTACCTTGGGTCGGTTATCCAGGGGGATGGGGAGATCGACTAGGATGTCACACACCGTATATGGGTGGGGTGGATGAAATGGAGGTTAGCATCTTGAGTCATGTGTGACAAGAAAGTGCCACCGCTACTCAAAGATAAGTTTTATAAAGTGGTGATTAGATCGGCCATGTTGTATGGGGCTGAGTGTTGGCCAGTTAAGAACTCACATATCCAGAAGATAAAAGTAGCATAAATTAGGATGTTGAGGTGGATGTGCGGGAACACTAGGATGGATAAGATTAGGAAAGAGATATCCAGGAGAAGGTGGGTGTGGCTCCCATTGATGATAAGATGCGGGAAGCGATACTCAGATGGTTCGGGCACGTACAGAGGAGAAGTTTGGATGCCCCTGTAAGGAGGTGCGAGCGGTTGGCGTTGGTGGGTACGAGGAGAGGTAGATGGGGGCCTAAGAAGTATTGGGGAGAGGCGATCAGGCAAGATATGGCGCGACTTCAGAACTCCGAGGACATGGCACTCGATAAGAAGCTGTGGAGGTCGAGCATTAAGGTTGTAGGTTAGGAGCTAGTTGAGCATATTTAGTCTACCAGTGTGAGGCTAGGCTGATAGGATTTAGTCTTAGATTGCTAGTGGTTAATGTTGTGTTTACACCACTCTTCCATTTTCATAGTGCCGGGCCTTATTTACTAGTTATTATTTATGCTTTTCATCTATTCACTGGTTCTTGTGATGTTGTTATTATTTCTATGGTTTTTTATTGATGGTACTAATATATTGTCTCTTTTCGTCTTCTTGAGCCGAAGGTCTATCGAAAACAGCCTCTCTACCCCTTCGGGGTAGAGGTAAGGTCTGCGTATACACTCCCCTCCACATACCCCACTTGTGAAATTTTACCGGGTCGTTATTGTTGTTGTTGTTGTGTGTGTGTATGTATGTATGTATGTATATATATATAAAATTTAATAATTAACTATATGCAATACATTCTTAACGTATTTCATAAAATCACCATGCAATAAAATAACATCTTTATTTATTAATTAAAAATATCAAAGATCTTAAGAAACGTCATTAAATCTAGGAGAGTAAAAGTGGTGAAGTCATAGTTCAAGATATTAGCACATTCAAATTTAAAATTAATTGTAATATTAAATATTTAAAATATTATCCAAAATTGCATTATATCCAACATGAAATGTATATTTATTATTATAATTGTATACATCTTTAACTAATTAAATTATTCTAATATGATTTCGTACAAGTACGCATTTAGCGTATGATGATTAAACCTTACCTTGAGGTTGCGTACTTTGGTCACCTTCATCCCATTCTTTATATGAGCAACATGGGCATATAATTCTCGGATGAGGTATCCTTTGGCATCCTCCACTCTCTCGGTGAACCAAATCCAACCCTTTCGTGCTCTGAACTGCCTAAATATTTCCGGGTTGTATGTCTCTAAATCTTTCAAAAGAAACAGTCTCTCAAGGATCAACGACCTCATTGGCCACCACATACAAAAACTAGTGAAGGCGGCCAAGCTGACAAATCTATCCTCCCAGACCTTCTTCTTCTTTGATCTCTCAAGACCTGTAGCTGTACCATCTCCCCCTTTACTATCATCGAGGATCTCATGTAAAGGTTGTGCCTCTAGAAATAGTGTAACTGATGGATCAGAAGCCTGGCTAGCACTCTTCGACCCCTCGGAGGTGCTGTGAGATGAAGAAGGCTTATCCCTAAGGTGGTATCTCTCATGTGGCCTCAATTGTGTGGTTGTTTGCTCCTCCTGAAACTACCACGACAAATGCGATCAGTGCATCAGGCCTAGAGAAGTTGCAAATGCGACATTTTTATCGCAAATGCAAA